CATGCTGGGTCTACCTACTCTTCTCTTACTCCTGGGGGCTGTCAATGGTGCTATACCTTCCCGTGCTCACTGGAAGCCAACTTGGCCGACCTACAAGGTCCCGGTCATCGTGCCACAGTTGACTATAAATTTAGACAAGCCACAGTTTGATGCAGAAGCCAAGCTAGAAGTGGTGTCGCCTTGTGGCCCATCCTGCCACAAGCGTTCTCCCCTGCCCACCTACGAGGAGGTGAAGGACTATTTGTCCTATGAGACTCTGTACTCCAATGGTTCACGCACGGAGACGGAAGTTGGCATTTACATCATTACCGGCAGCAACAGCGGGTCCCAAAGCCGGTCTCGGACCAAGAGACAGATCTACGGATACGACACAAGGTTTAACATTTTTGGCAAGGACTTCCTGCTGAACTATCCCTTCTCCACTTCCGTGAAGTTGTCCACGGGCTGCACCGGAACATTAGTGGCCGAGAAGCACGTCCTGACAGCCGCTCACTGCATTCATGATGGCAAAAGTTATGTCAAGGGAGCCAAGAAACTAAGGGTGGGGTTCCTGAGGCCCAAACTGAAAGACGGTAGCAAAGGGGCAAACGTCAGCAGCTCCCCAGAGCCGGAGAGAATGAAATTCCAATGGATCCGTGTCAAACGGACCCATGTCCCCAAAGGATGGCTCAAAGGGAATGCCAATGACATTGGCATGGATTATGACTATGCCCTGTTGGAGCTGAAGAAGGCTCACAAGCGAAAGTTCATGAAAATAGGAGTCAGCCCATCCGCCAGGCAGTTACCTGGCGGAAGGATCCATTTCTCAGGCTATGACAACGACCGGCCCGGGAACCTGGTTTACCGTTTCTGCGATGTCAGAGACGAGACCTATGATCTCTTATATCAGCAATGCGATGCCCAGCCGGGGGCCAGCGGTTCCGGAGTTTATGTCAGGATGTGGAAGAGGCAGCACCACAAATGGGAACGTAAAATTATTGGGATTTTTTCCGGACACCAGTGGGTGGACACCAATGGGTCCCCCCAGGACTTCAACGTGGCCGTCCGCATCACCCCCCTCAAATACGCACAGATCTGTTACTGGATCACAGGCAATTATCAGGAATGTAGAGAAGGCTAAAGTCCATGAACATTCCAGCACCGTCATGGCTGGTTATTTGTGGGGGGGGCAAGGCGGCAGGGGTGGGGGGAGCGGAAGGAGACCCAGACTCTTCTATATTGCCAATCTGTGTGCATTTCTCTTTTAAAAATACTTGGATGCAGGAATTAACAGGGATGTCTGCAGTATTTATGAAGGTAATTTGTGTTAACTAATAAATACAGCTAGAGATGTGTATTTGGCAAAGAGAGGTGGACAAGCCCTAGATACAGAAGAGTTCTGGATCTGGGAGAACCATGTCTTTCCTCCACCACTCGACAAGCTTCTCAGTTCTTTGTCATGACTGTAGCCTTCTTCCTTTTGCATATTTTCTGTCTTACAACATTTCTGCATTGACACAAAATCTACAGGATTGAAACTGCCTTAAATGCCTTTATTAACCTTTTGCCACTTTCCTGGGGTGGACGGTGCTACTTGACCAGCCCTCTGACATGATGCACAATGTTGGTAGAGTCTTCACCGTGGCAAGTGTGGCCATATGACATTCCTCAATGCCGCATCCAGAGTTTTTACAAGAGTATTCATTCCTAC